CCCCATTAGGGTGGCGATTTTTAAAAACGAACAACAGGCACTCCCTCTGGCCCTTTGGAAGCGTGGCCACCCTTGGCTCCCGCAGGTGAGAATGCGCTTGAGCCCCCCCCCCGGACATGTGGCTCTGGGGCCCCATCCGGCACTGCCAGCCCGACGGTGCTCTGAGCTCACCTCACTATTCCTCTTCTGGAAAATGCTTCCACTAGCATCTTTAGCGACCAGCTTGTCGCCAAATGTGTCAGCTACTTTCTCAGACCTTTTTTGTGTGGCTTGGCAGCAGTGATGGGCCTTCTGGCCCTTCTTCCCAAAGCTCCGCCCTCCGTGGATTTCCATGACACCAACCTTTTTTGTCTCTTGTTGCTTGTACTTCTAGTGTCCTGTCTACCAAACCACTGCTTATCCAAGATCACAGAGGTTTACTCCTCTGTTTTCTTCTTAGAGTTTTATCTGCAAACTTTATGTAAAGGACCAGATAGTAAACACTTTAGCTTGGTGGGCTGCGTGTGGTCTCTGTTGCATACTCTTCTTTGGTTTTGTTGCTTTGTTTTATGACCTTTTAAGAATGTAAAACCTGTTCTCAGCTCTGAGGCACAGAGAACCGGCTGCAGGCGCGATCTGGCCCGTGGGCCGTAGTGTGCTGATGCCTGTTTCAGGACCTTACTGGGGAAGGCTGAGCCATTTCAGTGAGGAGCTGAGCTGGGGGTTGAGATTTCTTGTTGCTGTGCTTGCTGCTGGTGCGGCACAGGCTCCAGATTGTGCTGGGGGGCAGGGGAAGAAAGTGGGGGCCGCTGGGATACCAAGGGCTTTTCCCATCATGGCCCTCCTCCATCCTCAGCCCTTAGCCCTCCCTGCCTGCCAGCACCCGGGCTGGGTCTCTCCCCACCTCTGTTCCTCCCCCAGGGACGCTGCTACCTGGGCGCCGCCAGGTCTGTGCAGGAGCAGATGGGGCTCTGGCTGTCCCGTGCTGCTGCAGTCCTAGGTGGGAGCCGCGCCCTGGATCTTGGGTGTGGGCTCTCCGCACTCCTGCTCCCGCCCCTGGAGCAGCCAGCCTCAGCCTGGTGTCATGGCGGGCCTTCTGTGTGAATGGGTTTCCCACCTCTGCCCCAGTGGCACTGCTGTGGGGCCCGGCCTCGGGCCTGGCTCCGGCCCTCCCCTCACGAGAACGGATATTTACCCCTGTCTTGGTGCCCTTGGCATTTGCAACCTCTCCCCGAGAAGCTTAAGATTTTGCTTCAGAGGAAAGAAGGTTCTGGATGGCGTTGGGAGGGGGCAGGGGCTAGGGTTGGGGTGTTGGCTTCTTGTTTTTCCTGTGGTGGCAGTTGACCCCCTCCTCTGTGCCCGTGCCGCCAAGGGAGGCCCCTCTGCTCTCCTGCCCCCGCCAGTCCTTTGTGTGTGCCCCCAGGGAGGTGCCTGGCAAAGGGCCTGGAGTGGGGGCAGCTGCTCTGGGGTCTGGGCTCCTGGAGAGTCTTCGCTATGGTTGGAGCCCCTGCTCAGCCTTTGGCAACTCAGTAACACCTGAGCTGATTCCTTCCTGTCAGCCTCTGTGGTGCTGGCCCTGCCCCTGCCAGATGTGTCCCCACCCCGTCCCTCCACGAAGGGCCTCGCTCCTCCTTGGCCTCCTGGCTACGAAGTTGCCCTGTGACTGTAGCTCTCCATGGGTTCAAGGAAGGGTCAGGAGTCACCGATAGTCTCCTGGGAGCCATGCACCACCTCCTTGATGGAAGTTCCCCCACCTGATCTGTATGTTTAAGTGATGCTAATTGAAACACGTTTCTCTCTCTCAAATGCTTATCTCATCACAGGGTAATTTCGGAGCTCCTTTCCATTTGTGTTTCCAGGCTGAGAATTGTTGGTGTCAGACACAGGGCATCGTCCTAGGAAAGACGGTGCCGGGCGTCAGGTGCCAGGTTAGAGCTGCCTGGTGCTCATAGCTTTGCCAGCGGGGTTACCTTCAGCCTTCTCGGAGTGAATCCTGCCTCCTGGAGGTAGGGTGACCAACTTAAGGAGTACTAACTTACCATTTTTTGCATCTTTTTAGACCCTGGAAGCTGTCCTGAATTTTAAGTACTCCGGAGGCCCGGGCCACGCGGAGGGCTACTACCGGAGCCTCTCCCTGGGGCTGCACGTCGAAGTTGAGCCATCTCTGTTCTTCACCCGAGTCAGCACTCTGCCGGCAACCAGGTAAACGCACGTCTGCTCTCTGATCGCCCTGTGCTAGAGTCTGACGGCCCTGCGTTTGGAATTCTGACCGTGGTGTCCGTCTCGGTCCCGCCTCCCATTAGATCCGAGCCAGGGTGCCAGGACCTCCCTGGTCTTAGGTTCACATCCGTGTGCAGAAATGTCCCTCCAGTTAGATGTGAGTGAATGGGCTTGGCACCTCTCAACATGCTGTCATCATAGTGTCAGCACTGCAGTGTGCTTGCTCATGGTTGTCACTGTCCTGAGCCTGGCCCCTGCCCCTGTCTGGTTCTCCAGTTCACAGGGACTCAGCAGTTAGCCACATGTCTTAGAGACTCCTGAAGGAGGCCAACATCTCTTTCTATGTCACTTCCGGCATCGCAGGAAGACTCTATGTGCAGCCAGGCGGTCCAGCATCTCAGCACCCGATTCCTGGAGCTCCCAGCCCCCGGAGCACTGGGTCATTTCTGCCCAGAGGGCCGTTCTTCCTGGAGCCTTGCTCTCCTGGTTACTTCCCCAGGCCTAGTCTTCTTCAGAGAGAAAGAAATCAGGTCACTTGTCTGCTTCAAACCCCGAAGAGACCAGAGGTACTTGGAGGTATTCCTCCCTAAGGCGGGAGAATGACAGTTTCTCACCCCAAACTGTGACCCGGGTGAGCTAGGAGCAGTGGGGCCTGAAAGCGCTGGGTGGAGCCCAGCCACCTGGAGGCCCTCTGGGGTCAGACCCCTGCCCAGGCCGCGAGCCGCCTTTGGGAGGCGGGGGCTGGTCACCCTGTCACTTCCGTGTTCTCTCGTCCCCGGGCGCCTTGCGTCTCCGGGTGGGGTGGAGCGGGCTGGCATTATTTATTTTCAGCAGAGTTAAGGCTGTATTGACCTCAATAGCCTTGACCGTGGGAGAGAGGACGTCACATGCAGCCCCCTCCCTCTCCCCTCCAGCAGTCGGCTCTGTGTTCCACAGAGTGTGGCGGGGAATGTCGTTGTCCGTGTTGACGTGGGGCTGAAGCTCTCCTTGCGGTGACACAGCCCCAGATACTGAGAGGGGCTGTCGTTCACAGGGAAGACTGTTCTCCCCAGCCACTGGAGAATGGCTCAGCAAGGACTGGCGGCTTCGCCTGAGCTTTCCAGCATCGCGTTTCACCGTCGGTCACCTTTTCAGTCCTCAGAGTAATGGTCTTTCTTGCCAAGGCTCGCCTCTGTTTTGAATTTGTACGAAGCATCAAAGCACTTGCCAGCGGGAGGCTTTGGCCAGGGCCGCTGCCAGATGCTGTCAGCGTTTTTCTGGCCCTTTCTGTGCGTTAGGTCCGCTCTGCCGTCAAGCCGGCGTGTGTTCCTTCCTCACCCCCTCGTTGCCTGCTGCCGCTGCTCACGTGAGTAGGTCTTGGAAGCAGCACAGGTTGTCACCAAGTTGGTTATTTTCCTCCTGTTAATATCTGGCTTCCGGGTCATGGCCCCCACAGCTCTTAATGACAGTTTAAGATGAGACAGATGTTGCCTTGTGGTTTGGTGCAAATATGCACTCGGAAGAGTTGGTGGTAACTGAAGGGCTTTTGGCTCCTAATTTCCTAGCCTGTTGACCTCACTCTCTTTCTTTTGACCTACGTGTTTCTTTCCCCTGCTCTTGGAATGGAGATTCGATTTCCTTGAATCCTCCCTTTCCACTCCTGCTAAGTCTAACTGCTCCCCAAATCCTGTCGGTTGAGCCTCCGAAATGTCTCTGAAAGCCCCTGCATCCCAGTGCACATCTTTGTCACCTTTCCTTGGGACTTCAGGAATACTTGCCTACTCGGCCCCCTGCCTCTGTTCTGGCTCCTGCATCTTCCTGTAAATACAAATGTTCCCACGTCACCATCTAGCTTAGAGACTTTCCCAGTACTTACGAGGTAAAGTTGAAAGTCCCTTCGTGATATTCAGGGCACTTAAAAATTTGACTTAGATGTTTCTCTTCAGCTGTTTGCCCCTAGTCCCTCCACAGTGCATGTGAAAGACGCTTCCTTCTCACCGTCCCTGGGACGTGTCGGGGCAGCTCACTCCAGGGTGCACTTGCATCCATCCTTTTCTAAAACTGCTCTTTTTCTTAAACTCTCATTCCTTCAACGAACCTTTTGGAAAATGTCTGTTTGCCATTGATCTGTGTTACCTTTTTGTAAAATTTTCCTGACCATGACTAGCCATAGTGGGGGTCCTTCTGTGGGCTCCCCTGTGCATTCTTCGTATGTCTAATAAAGCACTTACCAGACTGTAAACCTTTAAATCAATACCTCTAATGTTTCAGGTGCTGTATGAAGCACTTGTGGGGTCAGAGATGGATAGAGCATGGTCTTTGTGTTTTATCAGCCTGATAAAAGCTCATCAGACAGAAATAATACCAAATGGAAACCTGGACCTACATTAAGGAATGATGAACCCCAGAAATAATAAGTGAATAGATATAAGAGATTTTTTCTCATTTTTTGATTTCTTTAAAAGACTCCTGACTCTAAGGAAGAAATGATAGCACTTAATTTGGTAATGTGTGTCATGTGTAGAAGGAGAGTAAGTAACCAAAAATGTAGCACAAAGAAATGGAAAAGGAGGGGTAATGGGGGCTTTTTATATGCAGTGTTACATTATTTGAAGTTAGAATGTGCTCATTTAAAGTTGCATATTGTGAAGCCTCGAGCAACCACTTAAGGTATGGATAATATGCCAGAAGAGATAAAACAGAATGCTAAAAAATACTTAATCCCCCAAAGGGGGAATGAGGTGGCAAAAAAGAAAGAGGAAAGAACCAGAAACATCTAGTCAAATAGGAAACAAACAGCAATGTGGGAAACTGAAACACACTGTACCAAGAATTACATTAAATGTAGATGGACCAAAAACTATATTTAAAAGTGGAAATTGTCATACTGTTTAAAAATATAAGAGCCAACTATATGTTTTCTATAACATTAAACTCACATGAAATAGGCACAGTTTTAAAAGCAAAAAGATGGGAAAAAGATATGTCATGCAAACACTAATCATAGAAAAGTAGGCATGGATGTATTAATGTGAAATAAGTAGACTTTGAGGAGAAAAGGAGAGAGAGAGGATAAGTTGTAATGATAGGAGAGTCAAGTCATCAAGAGAACCTAACAATTCTAAATGCAAACGCACTCAAAAACATAACTTCAAAATGAAACCAACATCTGAAGGGGGGGATGAAAAACACACAATTATAGTTGGATATTTCAACACTTGTCTCCCAGTTTTTAATAGAACAGGGAGATAGAAATTTAGTAAAAATATAGAAAACTTGCACAGTTCTAGTAAACAACCCCAACTAACGATATTTATAGAGCAGTCAGTGCTTACATTAGAAGTTGAATATCTTAAAATCAGTGGTGTGAGTGTCTGTTAGATAAAGAAGAGCAAAGTGCACCCAAGATAAACAGAAGTAAGATAGTAATGGTAATAGTAGAGTGGCTATAAATGAAGTGGGAAATGAAAAAATAATATGTAAAGTAAATGGAACCAAAAATCAATTCTTTGAAAAGATTAATGAGATTACTAGACTGTAGACAGATGATCAAAATTTTTAAAAAGAGAGTGAAAACACGTTACCAATAACGAACATAAGAGAAAGGGCATCACTACAGATTCTGCAGACATTGAAAGAATGACAACAGTGTACCGTGAGAAATCGTGTTCTGGTAAACCTGACAACGTAGATGGAAAAAAATTTTGAAAGACACAAATTACCAGAGTTGGCACAAGAAAAGACCAGAACCCCTGAGATAGTCATGTTAGAGAGTTTAATTTTTAGTTTTAATTAATTTTGATTGTTAATGAAAATTTTCCCATGAAGCAAACTTCAGGCTCAGATGTCTTGACTGAATACATGAAGCTTTTAAGAAAGAAAGAATAGCACTTTTTGGGGGGAGATAATTAGGTTTACTTATTTATCTATTTGTCTATTTATTTATTTAATGGAGGTACTGGGGAATGAGCCCAGGACCTCATGCATGCTAAGCACGTGCTCTCCCCCTGAGCTGTACCCTCCCCCACCCCCGAAATAAGCACTTTTACAAAAACTCTTCCAGAAAATAGACAGGGAGGGAATACTTCCAACTCCCATTTTATGACGCTAGCTTCATCCTGGTGCCAAACCCAGAGACATTATGAGAAAATAAAACTTTAGACCACTATCCTCATAAATACGTAATTGTGAAGCCTCAAAACAAAATACTTACAAATCAACTTCAGTGATGTATAAGGTGGATAATGCAGCATGACCGATTCAGGTTTAATCCAACAACACAAGGTGGTTTCACTTACCATTGAGAAATTAGTCAATATAATTTACCATATTAGCAAAGTAAAGGAGAAAAATCATTAGATCATGTCAGTTGATGAAAAATCACTTGACAAAATGCAACACCCACTTATGATCCAAGTCTCAGTAAACTGGGACTAGGGGGGAATGGCTGCAAGCTGGTGGAACGCGTCTGCAGACCTGCAGTTCCGTGTAATGCTGCGCTTGGTGGCGAGAGGCTGAATGCTTTCCTCTAGGAGCACACGCAAGGCACGTGTGTGTGCGCTTACCACTGTGTGTGTTACTTTTCTGCCAGTCCTAATCAGAGCAATACAACGAGGAAAGCAAAGCTATGAAAATTGGAAACGAAGCAGTGCACTTGTATTATCTGTGTGCCTTTGTGTGATCGCATGACCATGTACATAAATATTCTAAGGTACCTACCACTCCAGAGAAATCATTAGAACTAGTAAGTCCATACACTAGTGACTAATAATTTGTAAATGAAATTTTGAGAATGTATGTATTGTAATAAAAAATATGATGCACTTGGGATAAATTTTTAGCAGTCTGTTGCCTTAACCACTGGGCTGCCTTGTCTCACTGGAATCCATTTTAAAAAATATGATTTCTACCTTGAAAATGACATAGCACAGCTAAGGAAAATTAAAGAAGACTTAAATAATTAGGGGGAATACCATGTTTATTGATTGGAAGAGTTGGTTTTG